AAAGATATATATGTGTGTGTGTGCGTGTGTAAATACATAAATACATACATATACATATATACAAACATACGTACATACAAACATACAAACATACATACATACATGTATACGTACATAAATACACATACACACACACACATTATATATATATATATATATATATATGGATTGTATATTAGTGTATGCGTATAGAGATCAATACTCATACAGACACGCAGATCCTCAACATACTTATATTCATGTTGATACCATTTCCAGTTAACCATGGACATTGATGTATATGTATCTATAAACATCACAAGGTAAACTCCGCGGGGCATACAGCGGGTCCTATCTTTCAATCTTTACTTGGTGTATGAAGGATCAGTGAAATACGATTATGGGTTTACAGGGCTGTAATAGGTACGACAAAAATACGAAAGAGCTGAAGCGGATAATGTAGAGCTACCACGACAAATCAAAATGGACGACAGAACAGTACAACAACATGCGTTAAAAGTGTCTATCTATACAGGGAGAATCGCAGCAGACATGCTAAGTAGGCGAAGGAAGTTACTGTAGTGCACGTGTCTCATGTATAAACCAGTGGGGACATTTGCTGGGCAAGAAACAAGAGAATTCGGGTGGAGAAGAAGAGTTCAGAAACTACTGAGCACCTGGGCTGTATATGAGTATAAGAAAGAGTCATAGGCAAGACAAATCCCAGGAAGCCTTTAGTATTTTGGATCGACTTGCTGACTATGTCCGTAGTTGGTAGATCTGCGAGGGGACAGGGGTAGTGATTACAGTCAGCTGTTCGAAACAATCTTGAAGCTCAAAGAAGGATATTTGGGAAACTACGAGATAGTCAGGCGGACATCCAAAGAGGTTGCCTATTTTCCTGACTACAAATAAACGAGAGACCGGGCATACACAGCAGTAGTCACACACACCTGTAGATATGCTTCCGACAGGGTGATGACCTGAGGCAGAATATTGGAGATTATCAGATCCTCAATCTGAAACCACGAGTCTGTGCCCTGCCCTCGTCCTTTGTGCAGCACATGCACACGGTACGACCCTCGGTCGGGGGGTCCGTCTCTCACAATATTAGCCACCAAATCATACCGTGTCTCCGATGTATACTTGTCGCCCACAAAGTCTTTAAGATCGAGATTCTTCACGGGGAAGTTCACAATAGTTGGGTTCTGGGGGTGAATAAACAAGGAAAGGTTGCTATGAAGATAGTGAACCTAGATATACATGCCATACTAGTTGATGAGTGTTATACCGGAATGTGAGTGTTGGAGAACAGAGCAGAAGCCTAGATGTATACATAACATACTAGTTGATGAGTGTTATACCGGAGTGTGAGTGTTGGAGAACAGAGCAACAAAACATGTGCGCAGAACCACACGAACCCAATACA